AACACCTCACCTCTGACAGCAGAGAACTCACTGCTCCATAGTTTGCTCAGGTTCTCCCTTTCTATTATCATGAACAATTTGCACATACATAATGTAGTCTCACAGGATATATTTCACTTTCAATTCAAAGCTGTGCACAATTCTTTAATGTATATAGTACAATATTTGTATATGTTTTATATGTTTAGTAGATTGGTATATTAGAGAGTATTTTAATTTATTCTGTATATTTTATAATGTGTAATAATGTGTAAAATACTTTTATTTTTATATTTTTTTGTATTATTTGGACATTTTTGTAGATTGACCGTCAAACAGCTGCTGTGACAAAGCAATATACCAACTTTGTAGGAATAAAGTATATATCTATCTATTTATCTATCTAATCTATCTAAGTATCATAAACTTGTGTTACCCATATATTAAATTGTATTGCCATATTCCAAAAACCAAAGCAGAAATCCCATTGCTTTTTGTTGAGGGAGGCCTGACAGTTCTAACTTCCGAACCGGCGTGAAGAGATACATCATCCCTGCACCAATTCATATAAAACACAGTTCCATGGACGTTGTCAGTATTCTACCCTGAGACTCACTCTCGGAGCTCCTGGTCGCCTGCGACCCGGTCCCCGATGATGCACACCATTTTGGCCAGCTGAGTCACCAGCCTCTGCTCCTGCTCACTCTCTACTCTGGCAGCGAGCGGAGTGAGGGGCGGGACCTCCTCTGCGGGCATGTCCTTCAGCTCCTCCTCTATGACCCTGGAAGAGAACAGGACGTTAAAAATCTCACTGGGGGGCCGCCGGATAACTCAGTGGTTTGAGATGGCGTCCCCTTCCCACTCAGTCCCCGCCCCCAAGTACGTTGGTTTCCCCGTTTTAACTCTGTATCTGGAAAAAAGGCAGTCTGGTCTGTGTTGAATTCATGTATGTGTTTATTTGAAACAAATGAATAAAGCTAAGTAGTACAAATGTGTGGCTCCTTTTACTTTATTGTACACTGTGTCATTGTTAAGGCTATGACAACAATTCTCACCATTTTATGACCATTTTCTGTCATTCTCACCTTGAGATGACATTGTTTTTAAAGTGTGCTATATAAATGAAATGTATTGTTATTATATTATTATTATTATTATTATTATAGATTATATTTGCCCTTTTTCTTAATAATATATGCAACATTTCTCATTAATAGACATATAAATATATAAAATACAAAAAAGTATAAAATAAAATGTTTTCTACTTCTGCCTTTATTAGTAAAGCTGAAGTGAGAATCAGAATTATTTTTTAAATATACATATGTATATAAACACAAGAAGTTAAAGTAAGAAATTAAAATGAACAGATAACATAAAATAAAGATATGCATATTAACATGAGAAGTTAGAGTAAAAATGTGCACATTGAACTACAATATATAATATGTTTATTACAATGTATAACTGTGGTGTATTCATATGAATAAGATATAATGCTGATGAGTCTAAGAGAGTTTGGCCGCAGGTGGTGATGTAAGTATAGTGCCAGCAGGTAATGACATGGGGGGTAAACATTGTGGTACTAGGTCGTCCACTCTACCATGAGTCCATGTAAATGTAGAAATATACAGTTTAAAACAGTTGAAGAGTTTGATGTTGATGCAGAGTGTGAGGTGTGTTTTTAACAGCTGACTGTGTGTTCAGCTGCAAGAATAGATCAAGATAAACCAGGATGCTCATAACGTGCATCCTGCCAGGTTTACGGTGTAACACCAATTCCATTTCGTATCTCCTGTCATGATCACAAAGTTCAAAGAAGTGTGATTTACTGTAAGTGCGTTATCTGTTAACGTGCAATGAAACTAAAACTGGCTTTGGATAAGGAATTAAATGACTGATTTAGGTAGAAAATGCTATATTGTTCATTAAAAAAGGTGACATGCAGAGTTGAATAAAATAAGGGAAGTGAAAGTTAAAAAATGAACATACATTTGATGTTTTCAAGAGTGTTTTCCGCTGTGCTTTAGATACTGGGCTGAGGAAGTAACTAGTTACAGGTCAGGGCAACAAGTCAAAGTCAACTCAATTATCAATATCTCTGAGTGTTGTACAAACAGAGAGACTGAAATGCTGTTTCCCCATCGTCCCAAATATTTAATTTATATATATATATATATATATATATATATATATATATATATATATATATATACATACACATGAGCACAACAATAAATATATAAAAATGGCAGTCTGGTAGACAAAAAGAGCTAAAACCAGTTATCATTATTGTTAAGCATGCTGATCATTGGGGCGTGATCGTAGAAAATGTCTTTACAGGTGGCAGGAAATGGACCCTTTTACATTTGTATTTAAAAAATATATCTATTAAATCAGAACTAGCATAATGATTAATCAACCAATCAGCCCTATTTATTGGTAAATGTTTTGATTTTAATGTGTGTTTTTTTGGTTGAACATTATTGTAAACTGAATAATTAAAAGTCTTTAACTGTGGTTGAATAACATCTATTTACAAGGGCAGTTATTATTGTTACTGTTTATTGCTAATACATGTTTTATTATGTAAAATGCCTTCGAATATATTTTAAAAGCCTTTTCTAATACAACTTATTATAATGATTATTATGAGTGAAGGAACTTACTCTTTGATCAGGGCTTCTCCTATCCTCGCATCTGTGGAGGGTAAAACAGCTATAGTTACTTTCAAATGACCTCATACCCTGTCTAAACGAGTAGGCTACTGTGTTTTGAAAGCCGCGGGCGACATAAAAAAATTAGGCAAAAATAATAACAATTCTTAACTTCTGCAACTTCATTTGGACTCGAGCTGTACATTAAAAATGAGAAACTTACCCGACATACCGTTTACTTCGCACGCCATGGCTTAAAGACCGGGATTTAAAGTTGAGAGAAACTCTTGAAGAAACTCTGCCTCTTCCCTTTACTGCCAGATAAAACCACCCTCAAAAACTTGAGACGGTATTTGAAATAAATGTAACACTGTTCACATGAAATACCAACAATGGTCCTTTCATAGAAAAAGCCGAAAGCGAAGTTCTTGGAGTCCCGTCTTAAAGTAAACCCTGAGCGGGCTGCGCTGAACCATGCGCTGACCATATATACATCCGGATAGACCTGACACATGCGTAGTAGCTAGCCTACCCCTCAATGCAGTACGAATGCCTCAACGTCTCAACGTGGGCGGGAGCTCAGCTCAACGTGGACGAGGGCTCAACCTTTCTCAACCTTTGAGGCACGTGACGTCTCGACTCCGGCGTTATGTAGGCTACTTACCCAGTCACAAAAGTAACATATTATATCTTATATTATATATCATGTAATAGGCCTATAATGATACCTTGAGGTTTGTGTTACATTTGAGTTCAAATGTTTTTATCATATCAACATAACAGTTTAAACTCAAATTAAACACATTAACAGCCTTCAAAGCATATTTTAATGTCTATTTGCATGTTAATTGCATCAGTTATGACTTCAAGAAAGGGCCTTCCTTTGTTTTTTAAAGTATACCTTTTTAATTTCAATAATCACTGCATTCCAGAGGCAATATTGTATATTTACTCACTTTTTACAGATACAAAACATGTGATATAAATGAAATCATATAGTAGCCTACTGTATTTCCTAATATATATATACCAACCAGTATTTTAAAAAATATATTAAAAAGGTGCCATCGTATTGACAAATGAACATGCTCTTCCATGTATTTGTTATTGACAGGATAATATCACATGTAATACAGGGAACAGAGCCATTCCGCATACTGTAATTTTGATTATTTGAGTACATTTAGCTGATAATACTTCTATTCTTTTACTTAAGAAACACTTTGAATTCAGGACTTTCAATTGTATTGAACATAGGGACAGGAAGCAACAGACAAGACGGGACAAAATAAAACATAGAGAGATCGTGACAACTAATACATTTTGAGTCATTAGTGAACCTAATACAGCTGATTGTAACAGTTCACCCCCAGCAGCGGTCACTCATGACCCCATCTTAATTCCCAGCGGCCTTCAAATTATGGCCTGCTTCTTTTGTGGAACCTCACAACCTCTTCATCCTGAAATATGTTTGACAAAGAGAGGTTAAATGTTTAACACTCACACTGGTTCAAGACTTTATCATTTGATTCAACAACTTCTACCTGCATTGCCTTTTCCTCCTGTCGCCTCTTGCACTCTTGCGACCTCTCTTCTTCAGACCTTGGTGAATGAAAGACAAACATTAAAAACATTCATTAAAAATGATATAGTCTGGTCAGTGTAACAAATAGTTTCAAGAATGCAAATGTAAATTGTAAAATTAAAGAAACATACAGCATGGGAAAGTTTGAGGAGAACTAGGCACCACCAGTGCCTAATTTGCTGCGTGTTTGTCTTGGAATATAAAAAGCACACAACCAGATGGGTCAACAACATATGTCCTGAAAAGTCTTGTATCCACAAGTGAAATCAATGAAAAACTGAAATATGAAACCCTTATTTATACATACCTCATTGAAATCAAATTGGGCTCTTGCCACAATGTAAAATGCGTACTGTAAATAAAGAAATAGTATATTATGTTAGGTTGTTGCGATGCTATGGTGTTCATTGACAAATAATATTCCTCCGTGAATGTTGTTTTGGAAATAAGTAAATCACAGCATGTCCCTAACTATGAGCAATAATGGAGTGCATAGCATGCTGAAAGCATTATACATTTGTATACATTATTATAAACAGAAAAATAGGACTACTATATGTATACTGTGTATCCAGTATCTTACCATCAAAACAAACACCCCACAGTTGTTCGAGAAACCTTGTCTTGGTAGGCCCTGTAGTGTGAAAAGTCAAAAGTGTCAAAAATGACAATTACATCATACTCTTCAGTAGAATAATTTTAACAAATCTAACCTGGACATCATCCACACCAAGACTTGCCCAGGGCACAAGATCTGAGCAAGGTTTCTGTGAACACAATGCATGTGAAAGTTAAGAAAAAGTACAATTTAATTCAACTTTATAAGTACTCGGAAATCAGGCAGAAAATCTTTGAACACTGTTGGAACAGGAACAAACTTGGTCTATCTTTTATCTCTTGTTGCCACTGTACAAGACTGGCCTTAAGCTCCTCACCAAACCATTTCTCCTGAACCATTGTAGCCAATGATTCCTTTTGCAAAGTTAATGGTTTGTTGCGTGCAGGTGGGCAGTACAGCAATGATTGCAAATGCTGACATTCATAAGGCAGCATACCACATCTTCGGGCAAAGTCAGCATTGAGTTCACATAGATGAACCTCATATCACATGACATATTTTTAATGACGTGTATTGGTGTTGCCGGGCCTGAAAATGTCTTCTCCACTGCAAACACACCATTGGGTTCATCAATACACTGGCTTTGCAGATGTCTTTCCTTGGAGACAGTTTCAAAATATGTTGTGTGCTTGCGACGCACATGTGTTTTATAATTCTTCTTGTTTAATTTTAGATTGCAGTGTGGAAATTTACAGTTTTTTTAGGCCTATGTCGCTTTTCAGGAGCAGGATGACGGGAAGCAACTAGCAGGGGAGATGGTGGGGTGAGCCGGGCAGGTGCTGGAGTGAGCAGGTGAGATGGTGGAGGGAGCTGGGCAGGTGCTGCAGTGAGCAGGTGAGATGGTGGAGGGAGCTGGGCAGGTGCTGTAAGTCGCCCTACAGTCACAGCTTTTGGCTCATGTGAATAGACATGCCGTAAAAACTGGCCCCTATTAATTATGGTCTGTGAGCAATAAAGACAATGAAAATGGCTTGCTGTTCTGCAGCTTAAGCCACACTTAACAATTGTGAACTCTGAAAACAAGAAACAATTGTAAAGTCAATAAGCTTGAAGACATTAAGCTCTCATTGTAAATAATGTGAAAATACAGACAGCACTAAAAAGAGCAATTTATTATACCTCTGTGCCTCACAGAAGAATGGCTTTTGGCATGGTA